ATTGCGGTAGTTATATAGCGCTTATGACACGGTGTAGGTGGTGTTTCGTTTCGCAACATTGAACGGAGGCGCGTTTGATTTTTACAAGATTTTATTTTCCTCACTTCCTCTGCTTGTCTAGATCGAAACGGCGGAGCGAAAATTCGGACACTTCTAACTAACAGATATTAGTAGTAGTGTATAATTTATTTTCTACTTTTTAGTGCATTAGTACATTAAAGCTTGTTATTAAAACGTTTTTTATGAAAAAAATTTTCGTATTATGCTTAACTTGTGAGTTGATCATTTAACAAAAGAATGAGGCGCGATCTAGGCGGTGAATTTAAAACTAAAGGCAGTCAGTTATGTTTGATCTCCATCTTGTGTACCTTGTTAAGATAATATGTTGAAGCGTGTACTCAATAAAGAAAATGAGATTCATTTTAAAAATCTGAGATAAATGAAAATGGATTTTTCTTGTTTCATAGTTAGACAAAAATATTTTACCCTTTTTTAAAGCAAATACAAATTAATATATTATGTCTGTTTGGTAATATATTATATTATTTTGAGTTTGATACTTTTGACCTCCCACTTTAAACGGTACTGGATTTTTAGATACAATAAGAAGAGAAACTACAATTGTTCAAAAGTTGTCACATAAGTACACATTTTATTTAATACCCGTATACGATGTGAACAATTTGACATTCGCAATGTTACGGGATTAATTACACTTGTATTTCGAGGTACCTGTATATATATATATATATATATATATATATATATATATATATATATATATATATATATATATATATATATGCTTCGAAACTTAGCAAAAGCCTGTACGAAGCTGAAGAACCCCAGGAACGGTGCTCTGGTATGTGACAGTCTGACCGCAGGCGAAATATGTTTCTTGACCTGCAAGGCTAACACATCATACCCTGCCGGTGCTCCGGAGTCCTACATGTGTGTTGCTTCAACGGGGGAGTGGAAGCCTCAGAAGTTTGTCCCAGACTGCAATGGTGAGTTATTATGTATTTTTGGTACCTACAATAATCAGTACTATAAATCCCAAATGGACTCTATGTAAGAAATATTTGTGCAAAAAAGAATTGCGTATATGAAAAAAAAAAGAAACGCATAAAAAGGTTGTAACAATAAGCTTTTTATATAATAATGTACTGCATCGGAAAAAATAAATGATTTTCTTTCAATATAAGATAAAAGTCTACTATTTTAATATATATATATATATATATATATATATATATATATATATATATATATATATATATATATATATATATATATGTTTATTTATTTATTTATTTATTTATTTATTTATTTATTTATTTATTTACTTATTGACTTATTTACTTATTTATTTATTTATTACATATATTACATATACATTTATTTATATACTAGCTGCATACCCGTGCTCCGCCTCGGTAAATCTTTTTTAAATGTACCAACTTGGAAACAGAACAAAACTAACCACAACACAAATACAACACAAACAACACAAACACAAATTTAACACAAACACAACACAACACAAACACAACAAAAACTCAAATAAAAACACAAACACAAAAGAAACCTCAAACACAAGGCAAACAAACACAATGCAAACAAACGAAAAAACAAACGCAACACACAAAACACAAAAGACAACTCTCATAAATTTGCATTCACATTTTGCTAATTATATTATTGCAACAATAATTCCTTCTTGAAGGTCCGTAGATTTTGCATTCACATTTTTTTTTTATTAGCGTGAGTTGAATTTATTTTAGAATTACCTCTCTTGGAAAATTACAAAACAGTTTAATTAATTCGTTTTTACAACCTTTTATTTAAATCACTTCATCTGTCTGTCGTTCGTCTAGATCGAAACGCCCGAGCCAAATTACTGTCTCTTCTAACTGACCGATACGGTTTGTACTTGGAATGTGGGTCAAGACATGAAGACAATGCAACATGACATTAAATTTGACTTAATTGGATGCCTAATTGATTTTTTATGAATTAATTAAAATTTTGACCAAATTAGTAGGCAGTTCTATCTAGCATCTCTACACGCGTCATCACGTTCAATAGCTGCGCCATCACGTTCAGTGGCTGCGACATCACGTTCGGTAGCTAGGCGCGCAATGGTTTTTAGTCATGTAACTCTATTGTAAATCAAACATGTAAAATACTGAAGAAAAAAAAATTAATAAAAAACGTTTTAATAACTAACCAATGGTTTTACTAACCCTGCTCTTGATTTACGCTACGACAGAGCTATTTTTAGATAACATAAGGATATTGCGCTAAAATTGTCACTAGACTTTTTATTAACTTGTTTACCTATTTTCTATGAATCTCGAAGCAAGTTTAAAATGTTATTTTTCAAAAATAATTTTAAATACCAAAAACATTCAAACTAGCTCGGTTTTGAATGGGATTATCTACCTGTTTATTAATTTTTTTTCAACTAACCTATTTATTTTATGTTTATCAGTTTAGCATACTACAAAAATAATCTCACAAACTAGGCACTGAATTAGCAATATCAGTATCATATTTTCACTTTCCTTGGTTTTATAGAAATTAGGTCACCCAACTATTTAATAATTTTCTTCTCATACAATTATTAAGAATTAAAAATTAAATTAAAAATTAAACACTTAAAATAATATACTCAGATTTAACCTTTTGCGTTTTTGCAGATTGGACCCTTTTAAAATTGGGCATATGCTGAACATACATAATAATATGCAATATTTTTCTTTATGATTTTCTGTCCAATGAGCGAGCAGATAGAAACTGCCGAAAAAATAAACGCTTGTTACTTAGTTGCCCTAGTACTTGCGAACAATCACATCAAGTAATACAATTAAAATATACAAAAATAAAATTATCAAAAAAGTTTCGTGAAAGATTACATCTGCTCGCACATTGGACAGAAAATCATAAAGAAAGTATTGCATATTATTATGTAAATATGGTTAAATTGTTTATAATAACACAAAGTCTTTTAGACTGCTAGAACAAATAATCTATTTTTTTAAATGTTTATAATAAGAAAACTAAAATACAATAAAGTTTAAAAACATATTATTATGAAAGACTATAGTGTTCCTAAATAAGATTTATTTTTAAAAAATCGAGTAATTTATTTACTTACATAATTATGGACGTTGACAGAATACTGCGTAAACAATCTAATACGTATATTTGAACTTTCGTCTACCTGCAGAGACGTAGCTATGGGGGGGGGGGCAGGGGGAGGGCGGCCGCCACGTGTGCCAACCGTAGGGGGTGCAAAAAGAGAGTGGGAGAAAAATTTAAAAGCTGATTTTATGCTGCAATTTTGAATTATAAACTGTCTAAGTTAAGAAAAGTAATGGCTACACGCCATTACATACTGGTTTAACTGTTTTCTACCTTGATTATTAACTGTAACACATATACTCTTAAGAAACAGTGACCTGCAAAACCGCTTTCCAGTTTTTCCTAGATGTCGGGGGGGGGGGGGCGCTTTTTTGAGACTAAAAAAATAGATTGGTGAGTCTATAAACGTTACCACTTATAAAAGAAACCAATTGTATTTTAACGTATTGTACGATTGTTTACCCGTAAAATAGTTAGTGACTTTTATCAAGATTGTCCGGGGGGGGGGGGGGGCGTTTTTTAGTCATGCAACCCTAGTGTAAACTTAAAAAACCAGGAGTGATCTCCCCTAAACTTTTCTCGAATATTCTTATATAACGTTATGCGTGATGGCAACTCGGAATATAGACATGATTTTTAATCCATTTTTACTTTCTCGTATATACGAAGTATAGAGAAAGTCTTGTAATCGTGCAAAAAAAAAAATCGAGATTTTTACAAATCTCGACTGATACGGAAAAACATAATTTTGCAATCTTGTCCGTATGTCTGTGTGTCTGTCTGTCTGTCTGTCCGTGTGTAAACATGATAACTTGAGTACCGTTACAGCTAGGTTGATGAAATTTCATATATAAGTATTTTATCAAAATCGTAGATCCGTATCAACTTTTGAGCGATTTCCGATAACCGGAAGTGGTACTTTTCCTACTTTGAATTTTTCAAAAGCCTATAACTTGAGTACTATTTCAGATAGATAAATGAAATTTCACATGTAAGTAAAAGATCTAATTCTCTACCTTCTGTTAAATTTCCGTTGACTGGAAGTAGTAATTTACGCTACTTCCGATTTCTCAAAAAACTAATGTAAATTTTAAAAGTACTAATAATATTGCGCACTATTATGCGTTTTTTTATTTGGCGTTCACTTGGTGTGTAATTAATTTGTCTACGAGATTTTATTCTATTTTTAAAACTTTAAGTATTTAAAATGGATTAAAAATCATGTCTATAGCCCGAGTTCCCATCCCCTGTTATTTTATATAAAAATATTCGAGAAAGTTTAGGGGAGATCACTCCCGGTTTATTAATTACTCAAAAATAGAATAGAATCTCGTAGAAAAAAGAATTGCGCACAAAGTGAACGCCAAACAATATGTGTATAATAGTGTGCATTTGGTTGATTGATATTCAGAACAACTTTATAAGAGATTTTAAAATAAAATATTATTTTGTGCCTTTATGCCTGTCGCCTAAGATGTATCATTTTAAGCAAATCTTATCGAAGAATGGGTATGCATCCGATTTTAATATATAATGATATTTAAACGATTAAAGAAATAACTTAAAAAGCGTTCTGAGCGCAAGATGAAAGAAAAAAAAAATAACTGACCAGGTACAGTGTCTTCTTCCATTTAAAATGTTTTTTTTTTCATTCAACACAACTTAGTATTTAAAGATGACTGTTGACTAGTTTACACTAGTTTAATTTGTGGGGGGGGGGGGGGGGGATATTTACTTTTTAATTCCAGTATTATAAAATTTGTTTTACAATATATTTTATTTTTATCTGTAGATGTTTGCGTATTTTTTCTGTATAAGTTTATGCATACATTACTTATAAATTATATTTATAGATGGTATACCATATTCCGGTGCGACGGTGGAGACGGAGTTTACGTACTTCACGAGTTCGTGTGACGCCAATAACGAGGAGATTAAACAACTTTTTCTCTCACGTCTCAACAAGAGCGGGCTGATGAGCGAGTGTGCCGAGTCTGGCTGTAAGCTGTCTGGCATCCGCGTCACGTGTGGCCCCGTCACTGGCAGGAACAGGGGGAGGAGAGATGCCACACCCTACATGTACCAGGTGGGGACATTCTTTAAAAAAATTAATAAACTTTTTTTCATCCTTTTCTAAAACGTTTGTTGTCCCTCTTACTGCGCTTGGGATTTCTCTTACTATCGCAGTTGGTGATTAGTAATATATTTAGCCAACAAATAATTGACCATATAACCAAAACAATATTGATCATTTTAAACCGAACGATTATTCGACCATATATAACCAACAGATTACTGTGACAATCGACCTTGGACAATCAGGTGAGGAAACAGAGCCTTCAGAAACGTTGGACCACTACCAAAACTTGGCCAACTCACTAGACGACAAACTGTATGCTCTAGATAACTCTGGGCAGCTTGAGATTCCAGAGATAGGAGAGTTCCAGAGTTTGGCCTCTAGTGGCGTCAAGTATGTCTGTAATCAACCCGGTACAAAGTTCGTCTACTCATCGGCTCTCTGCGGTAAGTTCTAAGATGTTCTCTCGTTTTTTACTCCAGGATTTTCTGAGGTGATTTTTCTGATTTTATTTAGTCTACTACATTGGAACGACTCGCTCAAGCAAGATCGAAAGCAACAATGTCGTAAATAGACATTGAACCGCAGTCATCGAGCATATATCATCTACTAAATAGTATTCCCTACCCCTACCCTTGTGTACACCACACCACTTGGTTATAAGAACTATGTGACCGCCGTGCATTCATCTATTTATTTTTGCTACATCCTCGTGGATTCAAGCGTAAACATGTTCCTAACATAAATTTTGTTTTCTTATTCATCGACAATCAGCTGGGTGTGGTCCTGGCCACATGTACGACAACACAACCAACAGCTGTAGAGTTTGTCCTAAAGACACATACCAGGACCAGGACATTTCCTTCAGCTGTACACCATGTCCTAACAATACAGTGACACAATCTGAGATGGCCACGTCAGAAGCTCTGTGTTTGGGTACGTAATTTTCTGTGGTAAGTTGAAAAACCTGCAAGATTTGGAACCATTACATTTATGTGAAGGTTATTCTTTCAGACTTAAGTGTGATCTATCCTTCTGATCAAATAAAGCATTATCTTATAACATGAACGTAACCCACAATAAACGATTCATAACTCTGGCTCCAGACCTCTGCAGACCTGGCCAGTTTTCCCACAATGGAATCCAGTTGTGTGACCCTTGCCCAGTTGGCTCCTACCAATCCAAATATGGGATGAAGTCATGTGACCTCTGTCCATACAGCATGTCTACCCTTAATATGGGCACGATAAACGTTGATGATTGTCTGTGTGAGTAACAAATGTGTTTGATACTTCTATTCTCCTAGTGGCCTGAGCCTGATTCCTGGATTGTGGGGTGTCTTTGATGTAATTAATGGAGTTAATTATTTCGGTCTATCGTTCCTTCTGCGTGTCTCCATTTAATTAATTTAAATATTATATTCAATAGTGTTTTAAGGGAATTGTTTTAGTCATGCGGGTGTCGCTTTATCTAAATTACCCAAATAAAAGTGACAAAAATGATATGACTAGTTTTAAAATTTATAAACCGACTTTGTCTTTAACATAATTATATATATATATATATATATATATATATATATATATATATATATATATATATATATATATATATATATATATATATACAGTGGCGTAGCGAGGTCGGGTGTCACCCGGTGCGGCACTTAATGGTGTCACCCCCCAGAGGCGTAGCGACCCTTCCCGGGGGCAAACTTTCAACTTTTGATTTGCACCCCTCCCTCAAACTTTTGATTTGCACCTCCCTCATTTTTTTTGTCCCTAAATGGTGTCACCCGGTGCGGTCCGCTCCCCCCCCCCCGTAGCTACTCCTCTGCATATATATATATATATATATATATATATATATATATATATATATATATATATATATATATATATATATATATATATATATATATATATGTCAATAAGGACAAGGTCAAAAGCCAGAACTGAACTTAGTTATTTATAGTTACTATGAAACTTTTGTGACGTAGCTTGTATTACTAAAATAGTATTTTACTTGTGAACTTGTGAACTTTTAAAGACAAATGGACAAGCTATTAATAGAGACTATGCAATAGGTGGTACCGAAATGGAATAGTTTGACCTTGATAGTCATTGTTGACAATACTGGATATACAGCTAGGTGAGTCTGGATGTGCATATAAGCGGCGATACTTTAGGGTAGAGTAAAGCGAAATCGAAGATGTGAGCTGATAAACAGAATAGAGACTTAAGTTACGCGAATAGGCCCTATTTTTTCAAATTAAATTGTATCCCAAATTAGCCAATTCCATAGCTAACCCAAGATTTATAGAAAACTAGCGTACCCGTCCCCCGCGCGTTGCCGCGGCGTTAGAAGAAAGTATGACGAAATGTATTAGAAAGATTTCACCAACACGTTACCAATTATACGTTCTTAGACGCGTGACCGTCTTTTCTAAAAGTGAGTTATTTAAATGTAAACAAAGCCTGCGCTTGATTCATAAATATTGGGACACAGGTTTACCTACACTACCGCATGTAAACATTGAGTGTACATTAATCACTCACCGAAATAATATGTTATAACACTTCGGTGACCGCCCATGTGTCAGAGACGTACAGGGGCGTTCTCAGCCCCCCCCCCACCCACCCGATTACACTACCGCATAGGCGCGGCGTACGACCCCTGGCTCCTTAAAAGTAATAGGCGCCATCGTGCCAAATATCATCCTGTTAATAATGATGCATATTTCATCATTCGCTAAAGTGCCACAAATGAACAGGCTTTTTTTCTTTAACGCGTAAAAAAGTAATGGGCATGTTTTAAACATCAGTGTGACTGATGCAATATGCTAGCGTTACTAATGGTCTATTATTAGATGCTCGATCTCAATTTCTGACTGGATTGTCTAATAGTAGATGCTTATTGCATCATTCGCAAAGTGACGAAACTCTAGAGTAGGCTCCTCATATTCAAAAAGTTTTTTCTTTCATCTTTGGCAAGGTGACGAAACTGTACAGAAGGATTTCCTCGCGTAACAAAGTTATTTTTAGAAGACTGTTGTAGTTTTACCGCTGAGTATAGTAGTACCCCTTACTCGCTAAGTGCCAACATAGTCGCTCTAAAACTCTGGGCGCCAAACCGTGTATTGACGAAAGTTGTACCCTATATGGCGCCGCCCATAAGAAACTTTAGTTTTCTTTTTCGCAGAAATATTCTCGGGAGTATTCTCATCTACTTCCTAAAGTTTCATGGCACTCTGATGAACCGCATCCGAGTTTTATTTTTTATATACCGTGTATAGAGAAAAAAATCGCTCCCCCCTGGGGGCGCCGCCCTTGCAATATTAAACAATATTTTTTGCAGAACCCTACCATTGAGTCATCTAATCATCTCCCCAAAGTTTCATGGTACACGGATGAACGATATGAAACCGAAATAGACTTTTATTTTTATAAACCGTATATAGAGAAAAATTGCAGCCTCCCGTGGCGCCGCCCTTGCGAAATTAAAAATGATTTTTTTTTTACAGAACCCTTCCCTGAATTGTTCTAATCAACTCCCCCAAAGTCTCATGGCTTTCGGATAACGGTGTCACACCAAAATCGATTATTTTTAAAAATATACCGTAAATAGAGAAAAATCGGACCCTCCCGTGGCGCCGCCCTTGCGAAATTAAAAATGATTTTTTACAGAACCCTTCCCTAGAGTTTTATGATGAACTCCCCAAAGTTTCATGCCTATCGGATGAACGGCGTCACTGCAATTCACGTTTATTATTTTTATATACCGTATATAGAGAAAAATCGGACCCTCCCGTGGCGCCGCCCTTGCAAAATTAAAAATTATTTTTTTACAAAACCCTTTCCTAGAGTGGTATAATGAACTCCCCAAAGTTTCATGCCTATCGGATGAACGGTGTCACTGCAATTCACTTTTATTATTTTTATATACCGTATATAGAGAAAAATCGGATCCTCACGTGGCGCCGCCTTTGCGAAATTAAAAATTATTTTTTACAGAACCCTTCCCTAGAGTAGTATAATGAACTCCCCAAAGTCTCATGGCTATCGGATGAACGATGCCAAACCAAAATCGACTTTTATTTTTATATACGGTGTATAGAGAAAAACAAATCGCGCCCTGCCGGGGCGCCACCACTGCGAATTTGAATTTTTTTTTCGCAGAAACCTCCCCAGGAATATTCTCAACAACTTCCCAAAGTTTTATGGCGATGTGATGAGAGGTGTAGTAATGCATAAAGGACAGACAAACAAACAAACACACACACATACATTGCTTTTTATATATATAGATAATTAACGATTGTATACATTTCATAGCGTACGTAGATCTAAATAAAATTTGAATGAAATAGTTCATTTCTTTATATTTTGAAATATTATAAATCTAAATTTGACGTCACGACAATATAAACGCTTTTGTTAGAAATCTGTTTCTACATTCGAATATGCCTTTATTTTTATTTTCCTTCTTTAAATAAGATTTTGTTTATACATTTATACCGTCCACCATATCATTTCCAACAAAAGTCCGTATCTTTAAGTTCTCCAAGTATCGCTGAACAGGCTGACGACGTTGCTAAAAATATTGCGGACAGAGAGAAGTGCGCACATTGTCTTTTTATATATCTATATATATAAAGAAAAGTGGTCGGGTGCCCGATAGGGCACTTCCCGGCGCCGAGGCGCTTTAAATTTGACAGGATCCTGCCTTGGTACGACAGAACACGGAGGCCGGTGCCGGTTGGCCGAAAAGTCCACGAAGACGGGGTCAAAACTGACCTCGACTGACCGGCGCCTTATAAGAGCTTTATATCGAAAAAAAATTCCAACGTAGGAACCTCTTCATAACTCCTAAGGTCGTAGACCGACTCGCGGGGTGGCAAAAAAAAACTATGATATGTCCCGGAAAATTCCGGTAGACCGTTAGAACTGACCGGTCAGAATTTTCACTATATAAACATTGTTAATTTTTTGAAAAAAAAAAATGATGACTGTTTTCAAAATAATGTTTTGGAACTTTAGCTCTGTACATCTGCCTCATTTTTTCCATACACCTGGGTAAATGAATCGGCCTTATGGATAAACTATCGGTCAACCTCTGCTCGCACGGCGAGGACTAAAAAGTGACCACGAGTGAAATTCTCCTTATATGAGCTATATATCGAAAAAATTTCCCACGTAGAAACCCTTTGAAAACTCTTGAGGTTGTACATCGGCTCCTGAAGGAGAGCAAAAAAATATTGCTACCCTCGGTAAAACCCCGGAACAATGTTTTAACTGACCAGAGGTCATATTTCCTTATATAAACATAGTACCGTTTTTTTTTTGTAAAAAAAAAATAAAAAATTTTTAGAATAGAATTTTAGAATAGGCGTTATCTTTGAGAAAACTTCGGAAGGCCTTTAGATTTGACCAGTCCGAATTCCCTATATAAACTTTGTTAATTTGGTGAAAACCGATTACTATTTTCAAAACAGTGTTTTGGAACTTTGGCTCTGTACATCTCGCTCATTTTTTCCACAAACCTGCGTATATGAATCCGCTAGCTCGGCGAGGGCTTAATATAAAAGTGACCGCGTGAGAAATTCTCCTGATATTAGCTATGTATAAAAAAAATTGCCGAATGATCCCCCTGATATTTTGTGAGGTCGTAGACCGACCATGGAGAGTAACAAAAAATCTTTATTCCCGTCAGAAAAAATCATTATAATCGTTAAATTTGTACAGATGTCGTATTTCCTTATATAAGCATAGCAAAAGAGTAAACAAATACTACGTCATTCGTTCAATTTACAAGGGAGGTAACTTTTTAAAACAATTATTTTTAAACTAATTTATACTATTTTAAATACAAACAGAAAATGATGAAGTATAGCATTCATTTGAGTAAGATTTGTGTTATAAATTAAGCCACGTATCCTAATTAAATTATAGAAATTAATTTTAAAAGTCAATGTAATATAAATTTTGAGTTAAACTATTCAGGGAACTTCTGTAGTTCTAATTACCTTTCGATTAATATATTGCGAACACTCCATTCATGACGCTGAAATTAGGATTACTGTTTAATAAACCTAAGCACTCCACAAATCAGCCAATCTCTAATTAATTAAGCATTCCAATTATCATGTCTTTTGAAAACCTAAGCGAAACTAGGCTGTATGCCTAGTTAGCATATAAAACAAAGTGATTTGATGCCAGTTAGTGCATTTGTCGGTGCCACAGGCACTTAAAATTTGGCACGCTCTTGCCTGGGGTGATTTGAAAAGGGTAAAATGCCTATCGGCCACAAATTCCACGAAGAGGATGTCAAAACGTTTTTATTTTATTATTGAGATTGTTCCACAAATTAAATGCAGAGTAGGCGAAGCTATGTTTTTGGAGAAAAAAAGTTGTGTACGGGATGTGTAAGCTAAGACGACAATTTAATTTTGTGTTTAAAAAAATAGGTCTGATAAGAAGGGGCTGTTTCGTGATTATTTTACGCATTTTACAGTTCTACATATATTGTAGTTTTCTGATCTCGGCTTTTGGACCAATATAGAAACACATTTTTAAAATATACAAACTAGTAAACAAAACATAGTTTTAGTATCATAATGGAAGCTGTCTTTTTATACTTGTTTTGTTTAGAAAAATATGTATCACGATTTTATTTAGTTTTCAACACAAGACTTAGCGAGACCACCTCCCAGGCAGCAATACAAATATTTGACAAAATTCCAACATCCTTCACCTTTATGACCTGGGTCAACTCGGCCTCGACACTTGTGACGTCATCGTTGACCTTCTCGCTGGGGTCAGACCAGGACAACTCTACTGCAGCATTTTTAGCACTGGACAAAATAGTTGTGGCCATACATGCCCAAGAAGACGTGGGAGGTGTAAAAGTAATAAGGTCAGATAACGAATTAAACAGCAATTAACGTACATGTTATGTGCTGTATATTTAACCAATAATTTAATAACAGTTGTCAATAAAGTACACATTTGTCAAGGATTAAAAGCTACTCCTACCATATTTTAATTTTATTCAATATATTATCGAAGAACACATTATTAAAACATACGTAAAGTCCCGACCTCAACCCCAGCCCCCCCCCCCTCCCCCCCCCCCCCCCCACCGACCCCAGAAAATGCCAAAAAGAAAATCTGGTTAACATGACCAGAGCAATGTTTAGAAGCAGCCATAATTGGCAAAAACATTTTAAATAAACCGGGAGTGATCTCCCCTAAACCTTTTCTCGAATATTCTTATATAACACTAAGGGGAATGGCAACTCGGGATATAGACGATATTTTAAATCCATTTTTTATTACTTAATCTTTCAAAATAGAATAGAATCTCGGAGAAAAAAGAATTGCACACCAAGTCAACGCCAAACAAAATGTGTATAATAGTGCGGAATATTATTAGAACTTTATAAATTCACATGCGTTTTTTGAGAAATCGGAAATAGAGTAAATTACTACTTCCGGTCAGTAGAAATTACTCAAAATTTGATAGAAGGCAGAGAATTTTACATGTGAAATTTCATTTATCTATCTGATAGAGTACTCAAGCTATAGGCTTTTGAAAGTAGAATAAGTTCCACTTCCGGTTACAGGAAATCGCTGAAAAGTTGATACAGAACTACAAATTTAATAAAAGAGTTATTTTTGCCATTTCATCAACCTAGCTGTAACGGTACACAATTTATCGTGTTCCGCATTATTATACACATATTGTTTGGCGTTAACTTAGCAATTATTTTTTTCTACGAGGTTCAATTCTATGTTTTTAAGTAATTAAAAATGGATTAAATATCATGTCTATATCCCGAGTTGCTATCCCCCGTAGTGTTGTATAAGAATATTCGAGAAAGTTTAGGGAAAATCACTCCCGGTTTATTTTGTCTACAATAGAGTTGCATGACTAGAATCTATTGCGTACATAATAAACGTGATAATCAGCGAACAATAGTGCGGAATAGTTTGATAAGACAGGCTACCTATTTTAATTAACTCATAAAAGATTAAAAAAGTGCCTCTTAAGGTATCAAGACAAAGTTCGGAATTTGAGGGACCCATGCACATACAATTTAATACTAATAAAAATAATTCTTCCACCTAACGTAAACGTCAGTTAAGTTATTGGCTGTTGAGAAACCTGAAGTAGAGTAACTACCACTTTCGATTATCTGGAATCACTCGAAAGTCGAAACTGAACTTCTAATTTTAGAAAATCTCCAATTGATTAGCAAGGGTAAAATTAATAAGGTTTTTACTTTCTCGTATATACGAAGTATATACTTTTGTGCGATTTCCGATCACCAGAAGTGGTACTTTTTCTACTTTGAATTTTTCAAAAGCCTATAACTTGAGTACTATTTCAGATAAATAAATAAAATTTCACATGTAAGTATAAGATCTAATTCTCTACCTTCTGTCAAATTTTGAGTAATTTCCGTTGACCGGAATAACTAATTTACGCTATTTCTGATTTCTCAAAAAACGCATGTAAATTTATAAAGTACTAATAATATTGCGCACTATTATGCACATTTTGTTTTGGCGTTCGCTTGGTGCGCTATTCTTTTTTCTACTAGATTTTATTCTATTTTTAAAAGTTTAAGTAAACAAGAATCATGTTTATATTCCGAGTTGCCATCCCACGTAGTGTTATATTAGAATATTCGAGAAAGTTTAGGGGAGATCACTCCCGGTTTATTTACATTAGAAAACTTCAAATGTATGCATATGTTTGTGTTTGTGTTCGTGTTCGTGTTCGTATTCATGTTTATGTTCATTTTTATGTTTATGTTTATGTTTTCGTTTTTTTTATTTCTTTGTTGTTGTTTTTTTGTTTCGGTTCCTTTTTATATTATGTTTTTTATTGTTTTTGTTTCTAAACGCTTTATATCTTTTACCATAAAACCCGTTGATAGAAGATGGAACCACATAGCCCTAAGCTACAAGTCTGGCATTGTTTCACTCTACGTTAACGGGTATTTTACGGATCAACGTTCAGGTTATCACGTGACAGAGGTATCCCAGAAATCTCTCACTTTTGGCAGTTCACTGGAGAGTGGTGTTAGTGGTAGGTATTGTAATAATACTTTTTGATACAAATGTTTTGTTGATACCGACTACAGTCTATGCAATTTCGTTACATTAGTTGTGTCAAAGTGTAACATTGAACAGTAATTATGATTATCAAGTATATATAATTTTCGGTCGCACAAATCATAATATAAGACGTGTGTCCACAGCTGTGGTAGTGAGTGGCCTCCAGCTGACCACCAGCTTCTACACAGAGCTCCAGCTCCGAGAGTTTGCCACTTCCTGTCACAAGAAGGTCAAGACAAATCTACTGGCCAGAAAACCTTGGGAGTTTCTGTCACTTTCTCCCAGCACGTGCAATGGTGAGTAAAATAATGTCTCATAACATATTAAAACTAATAAATATTAGAGCAGATAAAGTTCATCTTGAAATATCTGATTTTACTAGCTCCGTAGGCTATGTTGATATTTTTTCTAATTAATAGTTACTAGAACTTAAATTAGTTTTATCTATTTCGTAAATAAAAAGAAAACATTAATACTAATAGTTTCGCTGTCTGTGTATCTATCTGTGTGACAAGAACGCTCTAGAGAAAACACAAGCAAATTAAAAACATGCATAGTGAAACGGAAAGCGAAACATGACGTCACATTGAAGCATATAGTAGAAAAGAGTCGAAAGCCGGGAGAGTGCACAAAATAATATGACGTCATTGATTCTCTAGTAAACATTGAATTTAAAAAGCCAATTTTGTCTAATCTAAGTAGTTTGCGTGAAGAGTTTCATTTATACAATTCTTCGGGTAGGGGCGAAGCCCCACCCTCGAGAAAGAACGTCTAAGCCGATTCTCCCCCCCCCCCCCCCCCCAACTCAAAAGAAATGTCATCGATACTCTATAATAATATTACCGCCTAATTAATGTGTCTATGCTAAAAAGTGATTTGCGTGCAGTTTCTTTCATGCAATTCTTCGAGTAGTGGCTAAGCGCAACACCAGTGTTTCTTTCAGACTTTTTCCTCTCCTGAGCGGGGAACTTGAAATTTTCTAATCTAAAAAGTGTTTAGCGTGCAGTTTCTTTCATGCAGCATCTTTCTAGTTCCGCCAATGATATGTATATTTTAAAAGGGCTTGGTCAAAGTGTGTCCGTGACGGTGATTTTTATCAGTTGATTGTTGCCTAATTTACATTGATATGTTCAGTTTTTTTTTCTAGGTCCCATAAAGTATTTTCTATAAATATTAATGTTATAGTTGGCAAGACGTTTTTTTCGACCCATGATGCCACACAGAAACAAATCTACAAAACACACAGTCTTCTTTTTTACATTATAGGTTTTGTTTTCTTGATCTAAGAGTGTTGATTTTACAGATCTATGTAATACGGCTCTGTTTATTTGCTTCAAACGATCACTGTCTAAAATAAACCGGGAGTGATCTCCCCTAAACTTTCTCGAATATTCTTATATAAAACAACAGGGGATGGGAACTCAGAATATAGATCTAGTTATGATTTTTAATCCATTTTAAATACTTAAACTTTTTAAAATAGAATAGAATCTCATAGAAAAAAGTATTGCGCACCAAGCGAACGCCGAATAAAGATGTTCATAATGGTGCGCAATATTATTAGTACTTTATAAATTTAGATGCGTTTTTGAGAAATCTGAAATAGCGTACATTAGTACTTCCCGTCAACGGAAATTACTCAAAATTTAACAAAAGGTAGAGAATTAGATCTTTTACTTACAGGTGAAATTTCATTTATCTATCTGAAATAATACTCAAGTTATAGGCTTTTGAAAAATTCAAAGTAGAAAAAGTACCACTTCCGGTTATCGGAAATCGCTCAAAAGTTGATACGGATCTACGATTTTGATAAAATACTTATATATGAAATTTCATCAACCTAGCTGTAACGGCACTAAAGTTATCGTGTTTACACACACACACACACAGACACACACACATACAGACACACAGACATACGGACAAGATTGCAAAATTATGTTTTTCCGTATCAGTGAGGTGTAAAACGTCGAGATTTGTAAAAATCTCGATTTTTTTTTTTGCACGATTACAAGACTTTCTCTATACTACGTATATACGAGAAAGTAAAAATGCTTCAGGCTTGTTAAAGTGAGAAAAATCTAGAGAAAGAAGCTCTAGAAACTGCATAAAGTAAATGCAATTCAATAGAATAAAAATTAAAAACAAAGATAAATTTATAAATGCATCGTAACCGCCAACCACAATTTTCCACAGACGTGAACGTGTGTGAGGGCGAGCCGTGTGGTAAACACGGTACTTGTATCTCTGGTCTGGACACGCTTCAGTGCTTGTGTCACACGCCGTGGTCCGGGGATCGGTGCCAGGTGGCTCCAGACTTTTGTGCAGACAACTTGTGTGCTAACGGCGCCACCTGTATCAACATGCCTGACGACAACTTGTACAGATGTCAGTGTGCGCCTGGATATTTTGGCACACAGTGCAATTCAAAACGTGGTAAGGTTTCTTACTGCAAATACATTTCAAGTCTATACCTATAAATAGAAGAATGTTCAAAGTACAAAAAATGTATTGTAATAACTTTTTTTTTCTGTTTGTCAGAGGATAAACGATATATTGATAAATGAGAGACAACAGATTCGCACAGTTTATAAAACACTACACAAGGGGTGATTATTAAACAATATTACAGTGCTAGATTGTCTTGATGGTTTCCACATTAATGTTTTATATACAACATGTAGCTAGAAAGAACTTATAGATACGGTTTGATTTTAAGAAATTATTATTAATCATAAAATCAGTTGAGTTCACTTTTATCATATAATTTCTATGATTCTAATCAGCCGTTGAATTGTTTTCTTAAAGATGTATTTCTGACGTTGTGGTCTTACATTATTGGGACAATATTATTTTTTCTTATAACTTTTCTCTAATAAGTTTAACTGATTTACCCTTGAGAATATTTTTTATTTGTTAATTGTGCTAGTATCAAAGACCGTCGGGATAGAGGCAAAAAAAAGTTTTGATATATTATAAGTTTTCATAGTTCAGATGCTAAGGATACTACTTGACGGGGAAAAAAATAGTATGAAAATTTTGAAAAATGTATATGTTAATGATATACAACAAAGAAACAAACAATTTATAATTGATACCGAACGTATTATCCACCTGGCAGTGATGGGTCCCTGACTTACCTTTGGGAAAGTAAAGTCAGTTGGGCATAGTGCCGACCACAAAGTGGCGTAGCTACTGTAAGGGGCCCTAAAAAAAGGGGGCCCTTTTTCATTTTTTTCGAAAATTGAAACTTAAACATTGGAAATTTAATTTTGTTTTATATACATTTTTAAAAAAATGGAAATCTTGTTTATTTTCTACTATAGGAATACTTAAAAGTTCCAAAAAGCCCCCTGGGTGTTGTCGAACAGGGCGAATCGTTAATAATAACATTAAATGCGTTGTAGCATTGTAATGCAAGCGACTAAGAAAATTAGCCTATAAATAACTTGAACTGACTTTTTTGTGATATTGGTGTCCAGCACCCGTCAATTTACATGCATCGCTACAAACCTCAAGTAACTGGAAATTCCCCGGCCCATAGGCCTGCACCTCGCAACCTCTGACCTTCCTACTAAACATCCATGATAACAATTGAGCCATTTAGATAAAAGTAGCAACCATGGACAGTGTTTTCACAACAAATTATTTTTACCTTCATAACCTTTGATTTGTTGATCTAGTTAATCTTTAATCAATATGACGCTACCAGCACTATACATTATTGGTTTTCATCCTATCGCCAAGAAACTTTGGGTAGTGGTTTTTTTTTTTTTTTACATACATTTTTCTGAAAAGGCGTTTGAAATAAACTCTGTCTTTTGGGAAGGTTTCTGACATTAAAATTTTCTGTAGTCCGTTAATTTGGGTCAGAGTTATTACTTGATTCAGTGGTCAAATCGCACAGGACCATTAGGCGGTGCCCCGGCGGTCGTATAACCCAGTGCACCCCGGGTTTCCCCATGAGCACCACGGCGCCTGCTTTCGTTTTAATGAGCACCATAAACATCAGCAATTGCGGTCCCACAGGGACAAGGCAGCCTACTAAGTTAAGAAAATATTAATTAATTCATAAAAAATCAAATAGTCATCTAATTAAGTCTAATTTAATGATCTATTGCATTGCCATAGGGTCTTGGCAACTTGCCGAATTACAGAGAAATTGATCGGTTAGAAGTGCCCGAAATTTCGCTCTCCCGTTTCGATCTAGACAGAGGAAGCAAGTTAACTAAAAGCTAAATGGTATTAATGTGTTTTTTTTTCAAGTAATTTGTTTTACTTTTGGCTGAGAAAAGTGTATACAATTCATGGCGCAAGTCATTATAAGTAGATCTATAGATCTAAATCAAATTTGATTGAAATAGTTCATTCCTTCATAATCTAAAGTTGGAAGATGACACCATTAGTTTTGCGTATTTTCCGTAGTTTAAACATGTGACATGTGACATCATTGGTTTCATGTTTTCTTGTCGCAAACAATAAATGCTTTTCTGGATGCATAATTAAAATGTGTTCCTATATTCGAATATGCCTTTTTTTTATTTTCCTTCTTTAAATAAAATTTAGTTTATACATTTATACCGTCCACCATATTATTTTCAACAAAAGTCCGTATCTTTAAGTTCTCCATATAGGCCTATCGCTAAACAAGCTGACGACGTTGCCAAAAATATTGCGGACAGAGAGAAGTGCGCACATGGGCTTTTATATATTAGGAAAAAAAGTTTCCCTATTCTGTCACTCTGTCTTTCGCTTTATCTGTCACTATGTCATTCAGGAACAATATTGAGAAAACACAAGCAAAGGGAAATTGGCATTGTCAAACGGAAAACAAAACGTGGCGTCACATGGAACATATAGGAAATATTCTAAAGTAGAAAAAGTACACACAATAAAATAACGTCATCAATTCTATAGTAAACATACAATTAAAAAGCCACTGCAAAAAATGTCAAGTGCCCCACCTCCCACCCCCACCCTCGGAAAAAATGTCTAAGAGAGAGACTATTTTAATGATTAAGGTTTAGCGGCCAAAAGTAAGATACGGGTCTGGATTATAGGTCTTGAGCCTAACTTTAGTTGTTAATGATCTACAAATACGACCAGTTATGCTTTTAGCCTTTGTTCTTCCCAGGATGGATGGATGGATGGATGGATGGATGGATGGATGGATGGATGGATGGATGGATGGATGGATGGATGGATGGATGGATGGATGGATGGATGGATGGATGGATGGATGGATGGATGGATGGATGGATGGATGGATGGATGGATGGATGGATGGATGGATGGATGGATGGATGGATGGATGGATGGATGGATGGATGGATGGATGGATGGATGGATGGATGGATGGATGGATGGATGGATGGATGGATGGATGGATGGATGGATGGATGGATGGATGGATGGATGGATGGACGGATGGACGGACGGACGGACGGACGGACGGACGGACGGACGGACGGACGGACGGACGGACGGACGGACGGACGGACGGACGGACGGACGGACGGACGGACGGACGGACGGACGGACGGATGGATGGATGATTGGATGGATGGATGGATGGATGGATGGATGGATGGATGGATGGATGGATGGATGGATGGATGGATGGATGGATGGATGGATGGATGGATGGATGGACGGACGGACGGACGGACGGACGGACGGATGGATGGATGATTGGATGGATGGATGGATGGATGGATGAGATGGATGGGATGGGATGGGATGGGATTGGAATGGATGGAATGGGATGGGATGGGATGGGATGGAATGATGGAAAAATGGAAATATGGAAAGATGGAAAGATGGAAAGATCGAAAGATGGGAAGATGGAAAGATTGACAGATGGATAGATAGATTATCACGTCAGTTTATTTTGTCATGAAATGATGTTATTTTCTTACGAATGTAGAAATTATAGATGGCAGCTGGGGAAACTGGGCCGAATGGTCAGAGTGTTCAGTCACATGCGAGTCAGGAACCAGGTCAAGGACGAGAGAATGTGACAGTCCTGCTCCCCGAGATGGCGGAGAGGCATGCAGAGGTCACAGTCAAGAGTACACAATTTGCGTCACTTCTTGTACCAGTAAGTCGAATTTCTTTCCTAACTACTCTTGAAGTGACCTGACCCGGCAAAATGAAACAGATAGACTTGTGATGTAGAAACAAACAACATGTAATGATTGTTTCAGATTGTCTGTGGGGTTCATGGTCGCCATGGAAACAAGAAGTGACCTGTGGGAGTGGATTTGAAATCAGCGTCCGAAACAAAATCAATGCTCGAAATGGCGGGTTGCAGTGCAGCGGTAATGCGCATCTCTATCGAATGATTCATTTGCCAGATTGTCCCGGTAATTTGGTTATTGTTAAATCCTAAAGGTTATTTTTAGCTAAAATCTTTACTCTAAAGTTAATTATGAACCGAATCCCAGCAAAGTGCAACTACTTCCCTGGTCTGAAGGGAAATTATGTTCAGCAACTATGTCCAATCTAACAGTTAAACTTTATTATTTAAAGAGCCATCCATTCAATAATTTATTCAACGTTTTCTCTTCTATAAGAGCAGATTAATGTAATAATTGCAAAATATTCAATGTTAAATCAACAGCAGAACAGAGATCTGCTGCCCACTCGTCAAAACTAGTTTTCATGCACACTTGAATTTTTATGTATTACAGCTTATCACACTGGGCCCTAAGTTTTTAATGTTGTAGTTTATCATAATCATAATGTAAATTAATTTTAATACTTATAAAACATGTCTGTAATTGTAGTTTGTTGTTTTATAAAACTTTCGGCATTATTTCAAGTCGGCCATTTTTATGTCGGCCTTTTAGATGTCGGCCTTTTGGTTTGTCGGCTGAATGTCACGTCAGCTGTTTGGATGTGGGCCTAATTTCCTATCGCTCTTACTTCCTGTAGACATTTTGTCTCATTGGACTTTTGTCCATGTCAGCCTTTTGTCTGCATTCTTTTTCGTCAAAGCATTGAGCGTGTTTTGTGCCTGACAACTCTGCTATATAATCAAGCTTATAAATAATGGAGGTAGCTTGATGAATTGTCAGTCTTACACACTATTTTCTTTGAAATGTTATTTAATTAAATTATCATAAGATTTGGGCCTACTAAACATCAAAAGTGTTTTTTTTAGTATTGCTGGGCTAGCACCACTAGTTTGAAAACTTTGTTCGAATAAAAAAAAAGTAAAACTTTACTTTTAGTCACCAAACACCAAACATCACAGTTTTAACATGAAAGGTTCCATGTTTTGTCCAGTTAACGGTCAGTTCGGCCACTGGTCACCGTGGTCTGAGTGCTCAGCATCGTGTGGTGGGGGCGTGTCCTCTAGGTCACGTGCATGTGACAACCCTCCTCCCAAAAATGGCGGACTGCCGTGTACTCACTCACTGGCCAGGGAGAGCCGGACGTGCAATGAGCAGACGTGTAGAGGTAAAATTTTCAGCAAGCTTTACATTTCTGTGCATACACTGTTACATTTTCAAAAAAAAAGCCATTTATAACTTTGGTAAAGCTTAATTTTAATGGGGAATAAACAAATGCCTTTTTATTTACAGCAATTGATTTTTTTTATATAGATAAGGTATATTCAAGGTGAACTAATGCAATGCACCACAGGGAAGACCTGATTCCTAGACGAAGGACAGGGTTAACCTAATTAATTAAACTTTTTAATAAAAAATATTTAAAATCTGCATATATTACACGGACGGAAAATATATAAAATTTATACAGGTAAAGGTAGGGAAATACTGATATTTACAAGAAAAACAAATAGTGAGGAAGTGTCTAAAATCTAAAAGGCCGCATCAAAATATTCTTACAGTTAAATTTTGCAGATGATATAGCATTATTATTCTAACGCCACAAAAATGCAAAACCAAACTTTTAATGCAAATTTATTTTAAAGACCAGTCACTCTTAAATCGATGGAAACAAATCTAAGGTATTGGGAATAAACGCCAGTAATGAAGAGAAAATTTAAATAGGTTGCAGAGCTCTTGAAAATGTGGAAAAAAAATGACATGTCCTGGACCAATAGTTGATAGGGATAAGGCTCTGGAGCAGACAACAATGCTAAAAAAAATAGAACAAATCCCGTTGAAGCTAAAAGTTTGCAAAATAAAGTGGAGATGTAATTAGATGCAACCGGCTACTAGTATCAACAGATAAGGCATTTCACGGAATTAATAACGACATATAAAGGGGAGGCCTTAAAACACATGACGTAAAGAAATAGAAAAAGAAATGAAATATATCGAAAAGAGTTGGAAATTGATTGATAAAAAGACAAAAAAAAAGCATGGATCTTTTAAATGGCATATACTACACTAAGAACTACAAGTAATTATGCGATATCACTATTGAAGTTATACGGCGAGTTGCTTACTGTCCCTTAACAAAACATTTATATTGTTTATGTGTTGTCCTCTGCCCTCTATGTTACAAAAAGAGAAAATAAGACTACTCTTTAGCCCTATTAATTTATTCGGCAGTTGAAGTATATTTAATATGTTTCTTGATCTCGGTATGTTGAGGGATAATGTGGTCAGCACTTTACTTTCCCTAACGTGAGTTATCTACTAATCAGAGCTGGCTGGACTCAGAGACGTTCATCTGAGTTGAACCCGGACTCGAACACGAGACTTTCATGTTGGCATTCTAGCGCTTTACCTCTCTGCCACTCCACCCCATCTGTAAACTATAAATTGTCATGGAAAGAATACTGTCAGTCACGTGATGTCCTCTAGCGTGTCCTGTCAGTCACGTGATGTCCTCTAGCGTGTCCTGTGAGTCACGTGATCTCTGTCCACCAGTGTGTCCAGTACCAGAGCCAAGAACCAACTGGAAGTCCTGGAACTGTACCGACCTAGACGGCGACATGACCAGCTGCAACCGTGTGCAAGCCTGGCATGGCTATCGTGGAGGACGTCGACAACATCTTCATCTGTGGGTTCGCCACCAACTACACCTGGTCACAGCAGACGGTGGTCAACCCGGTGGGAATTCTGCCAGACTGTACAGGTAGGGGGCGTGTCATGCAGGGTACCTGTCAGATTGTACAGGTAGGGGGCGTGTATTGCAGGGTACCTGTCAGACTGTACAGGTAGGGGGCGTGTTTTTAGGGTACCTGTCAGACTGTACAGGTAGGGGGCGTGTTTTTAGGGTACCTGTCAGATTGTACAGGTAGGGGGCATGTCTTGCAGGGTACCCGTCAGACTGTACAGGTAGGGGGCGTGTCTTGCAGGGTACCTGTCAGACTGTACAGGTAGGGGGCATGTCTTGCAGGGTACCTGTCAGACTGTACAGGTAGGGGGCGTGTCTTGCAGGGTACCTGCCAGACTGTACAGGTAAGGGACGTGTGATGACTTGGCCATGGATTCAACATCATTTAAAGAAATAGTTAACAAGACGAAAGATTAAATTGTATATTTAAAATATTTAAACAATGCATGTTGTAATCGCAGTGATATTTGATGGTGTGTGATTGTCTTTTTGAAATATAATTGTTACAACCCATTTAGGCTGTATAAAGTACGGTACTCTTTTGGACCTGACGGTTCATTGAGCATATAAAGTGGACTTTCCCTGTGGTATAAATGGGCGGTGTGGTCTGCATACTATGCTTATTTACTCCTGATCCAATGTAAGATTATTTTTAACAATGACTAGTGATTTTGTATGAATGTAATATATTTACTTGAAGCGTATCTTGCAATATAAAAATTATCTCCATCCAGACAGGAAAATCCCCCAGTCGATCAAGCCGCAGGTTACTGTGACCATTGGCATCGACTGTCACGACAGCCCAGCCCCAGTACTCTTTGAGAAGTCGCTGAGTAATCGAATAGGTGACTTGGAGTGTAGGAGAGAGAACAAATGTGGTTACGTCATCAAGTCTGAGAAAAGGTGTGGCAGGAAGCGATCAACAGGTAAGTTGATAAAAGTAGGTATATATATATATATATATATATATATATATATATATATATATATATATATATATATATATATATATATATATATATATATATATATATGTGTGTGTGTGTGTGTGTGTGTGTGTGTTCTTATTATACATATTTGTTTAACTAAACTGAACATTTTAGCTATTGAACTGTTTTAGGTGTGTTAGTAATGACCGTTGACCTAGAAGTACTGGGTTATGAAGATGTCAAAAGTGACTACTTTAGCCAACTGTCAGGTATATTTGACTTTTTAAAGTGTTCGGCCATTTTAATGTATCTAAGGGTGATAGTGAAACAAGACGATGAAAGATTTGCAAGATTTATCTCTAGAAACAACTATAATTTGCTATTATATTTCATATATATTTTTAAAACGGACCAAAATAACGTTTCAAAACATCGACAACAAATCTTTTCTGTCTGCTTTACAGAAGAAGAAGCAGAACGCCAGATGGAGCACCTGTACACGCTGGAGAAGATGGTCAAGGAGATCTCGGACAAGAACGAGACTTTGTTCTCGCCTGTCGTGGACGGGGTCGAGTTCAAAGGTCACGTGGAGACCTTTGAAGCGGTTGTGGCGTGTCAAGAAGGATCGGGCTTTTTACATGGATTCTGTGGTGTGTGGGTTTGTGTGGTGTGTGAGTCTGTGTGGTGTGTGGGTTTGTGTGGTGTGTGGGTCTGTGTGGTGTGTGGGTCTGTGTGGTGTGTGGGTTTGTGTGGTGTGTGGGTTTGTGTGGTGTGTGGGTTTGTGTGGTGTGTGGGTTTATATGTTGTGCGGGATTGTTCGGTGTGCGAGTTAACTTGTTGTGAGGATTTGTGTGGTGTGTGGGTTTATATTGTGTGTGGGATTGTGTGTGTATAATGTGTGTTTATTGAATCATCAAAATTATTTTTTTAAGAAGACAAAAAAAAAAATTCTTGTCGTGTCAATTAATAATGAAAGCAATACTAGTAAGTGCATGCGATACGGTTATTTATAGTTTTACGTTTTCAGTGTTATTTTTGTAATCCTCAGTCGACTGCCCGGCCGGAAGTTACTCCACCGGAAACGGCTCATGTCTGCTGTGTGAGAAAGGTTTTTACCAGGACCAGGCCAAGATGTCCGAGTGTTTGCCTTGTCCAAACGGTCAGTACTGGTCAAAGTTGTAACTTAACTGTCATTTTAAGGGGGGAAAATATTTTTCTCCTTTTTTCGTGTTTCGAAAGGTTTATTATTGCAATGATTTTTTATCTCATTAATTTATTTTAAAAATAGCTCAGACCTGGGCATCGAATTATATTGAAAAATGTAGTTTTTGTTTACAATTAATGTAATTTGAGATTAAATATATGATCTGTAAATAAACATTCAAGTAATTCATTTCAAATAAGTTGCATTTATTTTAACCTAGATAAACTGCAAGCCTTTTTTTGCAAAACTTAAAACTATTTTTAAAATCTTATTATATAAGCCAATTGCAAAATTAGAAGAGAGGTACTTTTATTTTACTTATGATTTCCTCACCCATCTTAGACACGACCACTTCCGGTGTTGGCGCCTACTCCATGGATGAGTGCACATCCACACCTGTGTTGTACGAAGACATCTTCCCACTGGCATTTAACAGAGGAGTGAGCACAGATCCTACAGGTAAGATTGGTATTTTCTACGTAACATACATTGTAATTGATAACATTTCCAGCTTATTCTTTGATTGTTGCCTTCATGGTTGATTTGTATGTAACTAGAACTGAGTCAAAAAATATTTGTATGTTTCCAGAAATGACTGAAACATCACAAGACAGGAGAACATCAAGTAAACCCGAAATGCTGATAACAACAATAAAATATTCTACTGCAGGTAAATAAATGACATGTTTGCTTCATTTATATACTTGACTTAAAGTGGTATCTAGGTCATTTGTTGTAAATCAGCCTCGATTGTTTAACCAATAATACCCATATGTCAGATGCAGATTATATAAGTTGATAAAACGGCTAATCTGAAACACATATTTACTTTAAAAAGGTTACCGACAAATGTTATTAGCTCATCAATCCAGAGGTGATGGGTTACAACATGCTTCGGCTTATGGAACGTACTAAAGTAATGTACCATTCAGAATAGACGGCCAATTATTCATGGTGGTGTGGTTAACAATATCCTAATGAAATGACAAGAATGTACAAAGTGTGTTCTTAAATATAGAAGTTTAAAATGACTAAATTTTGTTTTTTAAGAACAAAGTAACAAAGTCATGTTACGTTTTTTTTTTATTAATGAAAAGTATTAAAACGTGCACTTTTAACTTATTTCAACTTCTTTTACCTTAATTTTTGTATATCAATTTCTTCAGAACTATATTAAAAACAAATTTTAAAATATGTTTTTGGTCTCAATTCTTCTGCATCTAGAGCCAAAAGTGTACTGCTTATTTGAAACTTAAAGCATAAAAGAATATTCACATAGGTAGTCATAATGCTATTTTTTTTCAAATCTGACAGAGGACAAGACGCTGATCATTGCTATAACTGTTTCTGCTGGAGTTATTGTTCTTGCTATCGTCATTTTGATCCTCATTGTCATTTGTTGGAGGTAATTTTGAAACAAAATAATCACAGAAAGCTTTAAAAAAGCTTTTACACGCACTAAATAAAAAAAATGTAAAGCTTTTTTATTTGCTATTACCGCCAATAAAGATGTATGTTTATTTTCTTATTTTAGTGCATATGCATCAAAAGCTTGTTAAGATTACCGTTGTGTATAGTTGTTCAATTTCCTCGTTCAAACTATTTAAATATTTTAAAGATATAAGGACGGACCCTAGACAATCAAAGTATAAAGTAAAAAACTCGACTTGATCGCTACAGTGAAATAGTCTTAAAGCGTTTATTATCTAAATGAGTTATTAAAACATTTAATATGAATTATGTTGAAAAAAATCGTTCATTTTCCAAAAGTATCATTGTAAATAATGTCACGTGGAATAAACAAAGTCAAAGAAAATGTATCATCCTTTACAAAAATTTAAAAAGTGTACAAATTACTTAACTTTGTTTCATTTATTGCCAATTACTTCTCTTTATAGATTAAAAAATGTTTTACTTCCCTTTAAAAAGAAACCTTAAATCGGAGGAAAAAATACTTTTTATTAGTTTGTTTTTGTGTTGGAAATTTTTTTTATTATAAAATTGATAAAGTGCAATGTTGTAAGTAAAACACGGAAATTTTAAATACTGCCTTTTATTTATTTTATACATTGAAAGTACTGTTTACTAATTATTATGTTTAATCGATAACAGTTTAGAAGCCGCTCCTAAATGTCTCTATGTTTACTTCTATCTTTCTGTTTGCGGACAAGCTAGGGTATTATAGTCGTTCACTAAATCTAATCAGGTACGTTCACCGGCGCCCCGGCAGGGTTCGATTTGGCGCTCTGGGGTATCATGTGGGCGCTATAGTGCATAAGTTCGTTCTAAGCAGTGCGATAGCCTATGAATAAGAAAGGTTACTATGTTCCTAAATTAAATAGAATCCGGGCGTCCTCCAGTGCCCCGACAGGGTGCTATTTGACGCCTCGGGCCTTTCCATGAGCACTGTGGCGCATGCGTTCGTTTTATATAGTGCGATAGACTAAATGTAAGATAGGTTACTAAAGGCCTTCACTAAATGGAATCCAGGGCGTCCTCTGGCGCCCCAACAAAGTGCTATTTTGCGTCCCAAGTCTTCCTGTGAGCGCTATGACGCCTACGTTCGTTTAAGGAGATATGCTTCGTTTTTTTTTCTTTTTTTTTTTTACAATTTAAGATCTAAAGCCAATTTAATCCTTTTACCATGTTTGGCATATAAAGGATTTAACAGCAAAAAAGGGTTGAAAAAAATTTTTGTTTCTCATGAAAACCCGAAAAAAAATTTCCGCCTTTTAAAATTTTTCGGTATTTTTAAAAACGCTAAAGCTTTTGGCTTTTTTATTTATGCACTTACAGCAATACAATTTAAACGGCTCATATTTCAGAATATATTAAAACTTTTGTCACGATTACTTTTTGAAAGATATACTGGTCAGAGTTTACCAGGACTGAAAAACCATACCCTTTTAAGCATTCAAGTTTCAAAATTTGCATATTTTTAGCATAAACTTTTCTTCTATGAAAACCATCACTATTTTCTCGTGACATGATGAGCAATTACTGACATAGTGGTAGGAATTGTTTAATAAATAAAAAGTAGTAGGCTTTTTAGGGTTAGAAAGCTGCGAACTAAGAAAAACAGCAAAAAGTAACGAAAATACGGTCACGAAAATACCAAACCTGTGTTATTTGTAAAGCCTATTGTAATCTTTGGGTGTTTCTGAGATGATAGAAAATACGCTTATCAAATACACGAGAAAAGCAGCTTCCAGGTGATGCCAAATACAATATGATAACGGATATACAACGTTTCGTAGAAAGCTTGTAAGATTGAGAAAAAATGATTATATTTTAATTAATAGGGTCATAAAATGGTATTCAAACACATTTTTTTTTCATTAAGTCTATTATTTTTTTAATACGAAAATTGACAAAGTATCAAAAAATGCAAGAATCCCATCATGGCGAAAAAAAACAGGAATTTTGTGATTTCTGTAAGGAGCATATCCCCTTAGGTGAGTGCAAAAGACTATGAATAATTTGGGATTTTATAGCCATTTACTAAATTGAATCAGGCGGATCCGCCTGCACCGCAACTGGGTGCGATTTTGGCGCACTGGGCTAGACTGTAAGCACCTTGCGTTTGTGTTTGCATTTAAGTTTGTGTTTACGTTCGAGTTTGATTTTGCATTATTTTGAGTTATAGTTTGCGTTTGTGTTTCAATTTGTGTTTGTGTTTACGTTTGTGTTTTTGTTTGCTTGTTTGTTTCTTTTAGCGTTTGTGTTTGCGTTAGCTTTTTTATTTGTGTTTGTATTTTCTATGTGTTTGTGTTCGGGTTTGCGTTTGTGTTTGTGCGTGTGCTTCTGTTTGTGTTTGCGTTTGTGTTTGCTATTTTGTTTGAGCTTGTGTTTTCTTTGCGTTCGTGTTTGATTTGGTTTTTGCGTTTGTTTGCGTTATGTTTGCTTTGTTTGTGTGTTTTGGTTTAGGATGGTTGTGGTTAGGGTCATTTCGAAAAGTAATATATTTCCTTAGCCTGGGCATTGCTGGGTATATACTGCTTAATATACACACAAGTCAAGGGTCTGGCCGTGACGGCTATATGCTTTTATAACACAACGGGGGAAAGCAACTCGGGATATAGACAATATTTTAAATCCATTTTTAATTACTTAAACTTTTTAAATAGAATATAATCTCGTCGAAAAAGAATTTCTACCAATTGAACAGTAACCGAAGTGTGTATTATAGTGCGGAATATCAGTACGTTATAAATTCAAATGCGTTTTTTGTTGTTGAGAAAACGGAAAAAGCGAAAGAGAATCAGATCTTCTACTTATATGTGAAATTTCTTAAGTTATAGTATTTTGAAAAATCAAAAGTAGAATTTGTTCCACTTTCTGTTATCGGAAAGCGCTGAAACGTTGCTACAGAAATACAAATTTGCTGTAATACTTATATATGAAATTTCATCAACTAAGCTATAACGGTACTCAAGTTATCGTGTTCACAGACTTACACACCTTCATGCATACACACATAGAGACATACGGAAAAAATTGCAAAACTATGTTTTTCCGACTCAGGGAGGTGTAAAACGTTGAGATTTGTGAAAATATCGATTTCAATACTTTTTCTATACTTTGTATTCGAGAGAGTAAAAAGGGAAGACAGATAATTAACTTGTCGTTATCTTTCTATATTTGCGGGAGGACGCAGTGATACTTTTAGTTCCATGTGGCCAGTGTGATGGGAGGGGGGGGTAATGTATGTATATACGTTCTGCTCTATTAATCTCTATTCTGAATACTGCTATTATTAACACTGCAACTATTAAACTTGTGAAGGAGGACGGGAACACTCTTATTTTCCGCAGACGCTAATTAACGATATTAACAACTGCGTTCATGAATAGCATTAACTTTATTATCACACATTTATAAATCTATTACACAATATCAAAACACGTCCGTCTTCTACTATGGCTAACCCCCCAACTAACTTCACTTCTGCGTCCTACGTCATCGGTAACATTGTCGCGTCATGCTCACGTCACACTCGCCACAATATTGTATTAAACACGCGCACATACTCTCGCACCAAATCGTCTACCGTCAAGTTTATAGTGTCCTCAGTAACCTCTACTAGTCTAGTCTAATTCTATATATCTACGCTATGACAACCAGTGTGTACATCCTGCGTGGCCAGCTGGTCAGCAGGGACAGAGGTCAGTTAATTAACACACCTCTTTTGCCGCTAGTTCGAACGACCACTGGTTAGTCTGGAAGGATACATTTAGAGTGCGAATGGGAGAGAAATGATGTAGAGCGACCAGGAGTGGTCAGGATGGTAAACCACTTTTCTTGGGTTCTGTTTGCTTTAAAACCCATTAGTAATATGCGATCATAGCTGTACAGGACAACAACTACCTGGTAACGTTCCTAGCTGGTTATGAGGTATGCACAGTTCACCCGAAAGGTCGTAGGCGCCTATATCACCACAAATTAAACATTTCATCTGCTTTTTGTTCTTTAATATAGTAATTGTCAAATTAATTTTAATGAATGTTAATTACTAATTTGTCATTTTTTTAGATAGGCATATAGGCCTATTTGCGTTGTCAACAAAACTTAAATGATCGTGAAAATAAATAAACCGGGAGTGATCTCCCCTAAACTTTCTCGAATATTCTAATATAACACTACGTGGGATGTCAACTCGGAATATAGACATGCTTTTTGTTTACTTAAACTTTTAAAAATAGAATAAAATCTAGTAGAAAAAAAATTGCGCATCAAGCGAGCACCAAAACCAAATGTGCGTAATAGTGCGCAATATTATTAGTACTTTATAAATTTACTTGCGTTTTTTGAGAAATCCGAAATAGCGTAAATTAGTACTTCCGGTCAACGGAAATTACTCAAAATTTGATAGAAGGTAGAGAATTAGATCTTTTACTTACCTGTGAAATTTCATTTATCTATCTGAATTAGTACTCAAGTTATAGGCTTTTGAAAAATTCAAAGTAGAAAAAGTACCACTTCCGGTTGTCGGAAATCGCTCAAAAGTTGATACGGATCTACGATTTTGATAAAATACTTATATATGAAATTTCATCAACCTAGCTGTAACGGCACTCAAGTTATCGTGTTTACACACGGACAGACAGACACACAGACACACACACACACACACACACACACACAGACATACGGACAAGATTGCAAAATTATGTTTTTCCGTATCAGTGAGGTGTAAAACGTCGAGATTTGTAAAAATCTCGATTTTTTTTTTGCACGATTACAATACTTTCTCTATACTTCGTATATACGAGAAAGTAAAAATGAAACGCCTAAATTAAATAATTACTTAAGTTTACCGCAAACCTATCCACCAAAACACATACATTGTGACATAACTGGAAGCGTGTCACAAAACCGAACAAATTGGCTCTACTATCAAATACATTCAGCTGTTTGTTACATCATATTGTCCCTTTTGTGTATCCAGTATTTCTATTTTATTAGATGGGCCGGTTAAATTAAGAAAATTATACGAAGGTTAGGTTTAGGATAAGATTTTAAGTATACGGATTGTTGGGGTTATATTTATATGCAATAACATGTATAAAGAAAGTAGGAGTGTATTTAAAAAACAGCAAGTAATTGCATAACTCAGTATCTGAGCTTTGTTTTCAATTTTAACATTTGGCTGTATGTTTGAATTCTATGAACGTTATATATTTAAGGATGAAAAAAGCATCTTGCAGTGGTGATTTTGAATTGAAGGCTTATCCAGAAAGAGGCAACAATGAAGTCTACCTGCGATCTGCGACAAAATAAATATTTTGTCTGCCCTATACCTGACAAACAGAGCAATTCTCCAATTTATCATTAGTTCAACTGGCGATTAACCCTGTCAGTGTTGGAAGAAAATAAAACTGCTTTTTTTGTAAATTTACTCTTTTTTTTTTTTTTGTTGTTTGACATAAAATATTAGTACAAACCTATATGATTTTCCAAAACATTAAAACATAAATCTCTGAACGCAAAGAACTTGAAAATTTAGATTGTACTTCAGTTATTACCTTGTCAAACAAAACTGCATATGTCTGCTATACTTTTCCTATCAAATTTTCTACTTTTGTTTTATTAGAAGAAACTAATTAACGAGTTGTCTTTAGTTTTTAAATATTTCAATTAAGTGAAATGTTTGAACATGTAAACAATAGTTAGGCTACATAAATGTTTATTGGATATATCTTACTGTTTAGTTTAACGTGTGACGTTGTGCTTCAAAGTTTTGTGAATCTATACCTTTTTAATTAAAAAGAAAAAAACATTAAATATAGTTTTGTTTTGAGTTGTTCGCTTTATTTTGACTGGAATGAATAAAAATAAAATTCTAAATTGTTGAACACTGATTGTTAACATCATGAATATTACGTTATGTTACAGAGAAAAAAATGTATTTTAATGTTGTTTCATTCAAAATATGACACCATAAATCTGTTAAAAGACTGTCCCACTAACCTGCTCACCCCCCTCTCAACCTATACATATTATATTATATTATATTATATAATCTACGACACATTTTGAAAATCATTATTAATTGTAACGCAATATATTATAGACAAAAAAAATTCTAAAGCAAGAAATAATTGTATTTTTTTTAGTAATTCATTTTTATTTTTTTAATCCTGCAGCAATCAATTTTGCCGTTTTTAATTAGCTATTCACCAAATTTTCTAATGGGTAGCTTACGACTGCTTTACCGAAATTATCGAGTTCTGGTCCAGGCCTTGAGTCTTTAAGACCTCCCTTAGTTCACCCAGCGGTGATAGGAACGACCCAAGTTAGGGAAACTAAGGCGGCTGAACATAGTGCTGACAACACAATCCCCCTGTATGCCGAGGTCATTGAAAAAGATGAACTCTACTTCCCTATTTGCGAGATTTTTGGCGAGATCTATAAATAAATTTGATCTATAGGACGGATAATTATCATCTTTAACCATTTGTGCTCAACCTCCATGTCATTCAATAATAGTAATGTATGTTATTATAAAAATAAATAATGTTCAATTAATTCATTCACCAATTATTTTAATAGATTGTAATAATATAACAAATGGTCTTACCTCCATAGTTTTGTGAATTTGATTCATCAAACCAATACAATGCTATTAATTAATATCTGCTTACTAATGTTTAACAAATATACAGTAGTGGTGTGTAACAACAGTAATATCCCTTGTAGTTGTGGGTTCGTTTTGATACAAGAACACGAGCAATAGTAGTAACTTCAAACTATAAACTTTATTTACACTTTACACAGTGAAATGATAAATACATAGTAAATCCATAGTAGAAGATAACAACTGGTACAAGTACAATCACGAATCAAAGTGACGTGGTGACATCCTACTTCATATTCACAGCCACAGTCCAAACCCCCTTTTGTTCACCTTGCGCTTCCCTTTTATACGGTCCATTCTCTCCCCTTACGTCAATGAGAGATCTCACCCAAAAGCATGGAAAAATACATGAGGAGTCGCTCAGATAGTCCTTCCGCTAGCCAGGTACTCTAGAGAGAGAGAGAGATGTGCGCACGTGGTCTGTTATATATTAGGATATTTATTTACTTTCTGTATTTGTATTTTTTCGATAACGTAACACGTCATCAGTTAGCTGTGGCCAAGGCTACATCTACGACACGAAGACAGACAAATGCAGGGAATGTCCTAAAGACACCTATCAGGACCAGGACATTGGGTTCACCTGCCAGCCGTGTCCTACAGGTACAACGACAGTCTACATGGGGTCAATCAGTCTCAAGCAATGTCAAGGTTAGTTTCATTTAGTATATTGATACAGGTGGCTCTTCTAAATGGGATGATACAAATTTAGTTTGTCCGTTTTGAAGTACACCTTGATTAAAGAAACAGAACTTGCATAAAGCATAAATTTACTAAAACAAAAATTCTTCTTTTGCAATCCCTGTCCACAAAGTTTATACTACACAGAAGACTGTTTATCTGTTTCATGTCCTAAACAGGACACTGTCCTGCTGGCCACTACTCAGACACGGGGATGACGCCATGCCAGAAGTGTCCAGTTGGAACCCACCAATCAGAGCGTGGCATGCACGTGTGTGACCTTTGCCCTTTCGGAATGTCCACACCTCAGACAGGAACGACCTCCGCATACGATTGTCGATGTTTGTATTCTTATTCTGTGTTTGTTATTGCTCAATGTTTTTAACGAATGTATTTTATCTTGTTTGTTAGTTTTATCTCATTGCGTTGTCTTTTCTGTATGTTATTCGTGCAAATGGATGGATTGTTACTTCAAAGTGCATGTTGGGTTTCAGCAGATACGTTAGCGATAAATAAAATCGAATTATTGAATAGTTGGCGCTTGAGTATTCTTTCCAAACAAAAAAAAACTATTTCACTGATAGAAACGTTTGTATTCTAATAATATAATATTTCTTTTGCATTTAAGTCATACTATTTCGTTTGTTATTATACAAAATTATAAAGTATAATCTGATAGTAAAATAACAACAAGATGATTTCGTTGAAATGATTGAAATAATATTGTTCTGTCCAGTCGCTGCCGTCAGACTAGACGAGAACAGCCCAGGTCCAGTTATGCAGGTCAAGGACGAATCACCAGTCACTTTCACCTTCATGACCTGGCTATCCACTGACGTCACAAACAACAGGTCAAGGCTGAGATTTTCTCTGGAACATTCCACGGTCAACATGAGCTGTGCTGGTCTGGTGATGGGTCAGGTGACCATCTGTCTGTACACTGACGTCACCAATCAAACAAGGTACATACTAAAGATCTAAAACAAAGTCTATTTTGAATAAAAGAGATAGTTTAGTCTACTGACCACTCCTAGTGTGTGGTCTAGACTTCAGTGTTCAGATTTCAGATTTCCAATTTTTTTAAAACATTCAGTAATTTTTACTGTCAAATTGTATATTAGTACTTGTTAACGTTTTGATGTGCTTTGATTTAAATACACACGTCGTATCGTAGACTTAATAACCACATTTGTATTTCTTTAGATTTCTTTAATTATGTTACATATCTCATTTGCCTTTTAAATTAAATACATTCAAAATGCATTGGCAATAATGTGGGTAGTTTTAACTATATTATCTATATTTTACTAAAATTCAGAAGTTTGTATATTTATTTTTTCTTATTTTTTTTCTTTGACGGTTGCGCTAGATTAGATCATCTGCACAACGTGTAAAACTGTAAATTTTTGTATTTATTTGTTCATAATAATGTTCATTTTTACCATAAATGTTATACACTAATTTATTTAAAGACTATAATTAATTTATTAATATATTCATTTGTAGAAACACCGCTTTAATATAGAATTAAATTAATTTAGAGCAACTTTGTCCATATTTTAGAGACTGGACGCATGTTGGTTTAGTGTATAACAATGGGACGTTAAAAGTTTACGAAAACGGACACGTTCGCAGCTGGTTGCACCAGGAACTCGGAGATTTGAGGAGAAAAACTATCCGCTTCACCAGTTCAGGGGACATTACTTGTATGTTTTTACTTCACACTTATGGAAAAAAAGTTCTCTAGTGCTAATTGACAGCTAGAGTTGTGTAACTTAAAAGCTGAGCCGATAACATTTATATTGATGTCGTTATCAATATGTACCACTTTTGTATTACGTGTAGAAGATATTGTAAGATAAATAAAATATAAGTAGATCCCATTCTAACGAAAGCAATATTTGAACAGTTATTTGCATGGTTTTATTTTATCTTTCATTTAAAAAAAAAATTTAACTTGATATTTATTGCTCTATACATACTGGGGATTTTTTTTGCAACATCTTTAAAGGCCGTGTGCTACTTATATAAATGTATACTGTTAATGCTTGACTCTTACATAATTATGTATATTGTTTCGAGTACTGTGAATGTGGTTTGATGTCTAACAGTTTATGTTCCAATCTGCAGATCTGTTGGCCAGTGGTGTACAAATGACGTTAACAGAGTACACAGAGCTGCAAATGTTGGAGTTCGCAAGTTCGTGTCTGGCTGAGGTGGATAACAACATCCTAGCTGCCAACTCGACCACTGAGTTCCACGTCAGCACTTGTTACGGTATTGTTACACTTGTGACGTCAGCACTTATTACTGTATTGTTAGATGCGTGTATGTGATATCAGTACCTGTATACTGGTATTGTCACACACTAGTATGTTACGTCATTTTCTGTAAGCTAAATAATATTGATAAGTTTAAAGCTGTGGCGTAACAGATCAGTCGGGGGGGCCTTGGACATTAAAAGACTGGGATTCCACTTATTGATATATACATATGCATATAGGCCTATATATATATATATATATATATATATATATATATATATATATATATATATATAGATTGATTGATTGATTGAAAGATAAATTGATTGATATATATACTAGGTGTATGTCATTGCTTCGCTATGATGTAAAATAAATTGAAAATAGTTCTCTGAAGAAATAAGAAAACATACACAATGTAGGCCGACATAACAAAACAAATTTACCACTCTAAACAAAACAAAAAAAAAATTATACACACTATACAACAAAAAACAATGAACGCAACACAATCTGTTTTATAATCATTGTTAAAAAATTGACATAATGATTCCTTGAATATTAATTAAGACTTGGCGTGGTCAAGTCGGTAAAGCTCATGGTTGCTAAACCGAAAAGTCTCGAGTTCGAACCCTCGGGCAGATGAGGCTAGTTAGCTGAGGACAGCCACTCTTCTAGGAGAGACAACTCCAAAATTAAATAACTGCTGCCTTGTAGTTTGCTCTTGGTTGGACGCAAATTCAAAAAGAAAAGCAGGCTGAAATCGGAGTTAATGGCTTCAATGGCACATAACCTGTTGACATGTATCCTTAATTGTGTTTGAGTGGTCGAGTAGGCAAAAGCTCATGGTTATTAAAAACTATCGAGTTCAAACCCTCTGGCAGATAAGGCTCGATCCCTTCCAACTCTAAAGATTAAGAACGAAGAAGAAAAAGAATAAAGACAGAACTAAGGCGAACTAGAGGAAATATTCACTCTCTTCAAATGCATGTGTCTACACATTTGTAAATGTCAAAGCAGAGCAATAATTACTCATGTAGCCTATGAAATATATAAGAAACGTTTTTACAAAAATATGTTGTCCACAATCAGAATTAAATATTTTGTCATTATAAATGCTAAAATATTACAGCATAATGAAAGGTAATGAATTATGAGTTGGTATAAAACCACGCTTTTAAATCTGATAGAAAAACTAAATTTAGTAGGTAGAATATTCTGAATAATACCCAAAATATAACTAAAATATTGGTCAGTTCAGATCATACATTTAAAATAGCTACTGCTTTTTGTGTTCTTTAAAGACCATTTATTACATAATTATATTATATTATATAATTATAAGATATTGATTAGATCACCGTATTGCTCACACACCTCTTTACTGGTAATTGCAAAAACAAAATTCACAGAGTTTTCCCTGTTTCAAAACTATGATTCTGGCGGAATGGCACTTTGGTACCTCATTACGCGTTTTCCCAAATGTACTTAACACATCAGTTCGGGTTGTGTGTGTGTGTGTGGGGGAGGGGGGGGGTTGTCAACATCATTCACCACTGTCCGGTCACTTTAGTTCTATTATCTTACCCAGCTTATACCTAGGTGTGACATTAATGTCGCTCTACACAATTACGACCTGTCCCGTTCTAGTAGTGAGGTGGGGAGGGGGGGGGGGGGGATAACCAACTCTGAGTGAACTTAGCGTCAGTTGTTAGGTGACTGTTCTAAACATACATATACAATTATGCATATATACTGATTCAGAAATAGATTTAAATAAGTAACAGTGGTATTATGACAAACATGTTTTACAGAGGGGGTGTTATAACCCCCACCCCTCTTGCCTACGCCACTGGTTGTGTCTCTTGTCACTAAGAAAACTCATTTTCCAATCCCAATGAAATAATTGTTCTTAAGTAGCGGACATAATATTACTCTATAATACAGTTTCCTACACATATTTATTTCATCTTTCAAATTTTACTTTTAGAAAGAATATGGTTATAAAAAATATTGTATAAAATAGCTATTTGCAATTCAATGTACAAAACTTTCTGTCTTTTTAAAGGTATATATATATATATGAATCACTTAATTCGGCGTCTGCAGATTTTAAAAATATATAAACCGTGGTTGAGTAACACGAACTACGCTTTTATCTGTTTATGTCTCAACTTATGTCTAGGTTATATAATCAGCACAGGAAAAGTTTTTTAGTACCATCAAATGTTTTTGCTATTGTTACACCCTGAACCTTAGTGAAAGGAGCGTAACATTTTAGTAACGTGAGACATAACAAACAAAAGCTGGGATCAATTGCTTGAGTTAGTTATTGCTTACACTCAGTTAAGATCGAGGCTGGTCATGATTTAAGTGACATTTGATGTGTCCTTAGCTTTTGTTTTCAAAATGCATGTTTGTTGTTTTTTATATATTTTTTTATTACGCAACATAATTTTCTGATGTTGATACTAGCGGCTGTCAATGGTGCATGGTCCAAGTGGGGTCCGTGGTCGGCCTGTGACGTCACGTGTGGTCAAGGTTTAAGAAGAAGAACACGGTCATGTGACAGTCCACCCCCAGACAATGGCGGTGACTTCTGTCTTGGAGAGCAAGATGAAACGATAGATTGCAGTTCCGTCAGCTGCGGTAGCTTAAATCTTTTCCCCCGTAATATCGTATGAATGCACATTTTATCTACTACTGGACAACAATTTGATATTATTATTTTTTAAACTAAAATTTAAAATTCCCTTACGAACTTGGTGGTCTATTGTGCAGATGAAGTAAAGATCATCTGTTGCTGTTACTTCGGTAAATGAAAAGATAATGTGGTCAGCACTTTGGCCAGTCGCCTTTACGGAAGTCAGGTACCCATGTGAGTTGGGTGGGTTTCAGGACCTCAAACTGACTCGAGCCAGAACTAGAGGCTTTTTGGTTAGCAGTCATATCCCCACCTATACGACATTGCGTATGGATTATTTGAAATAATATTTTCGTATATTCAAATGGTTTGATGGCTATTAACATTAATTTAGATGGTTTAAACATTTTATTTTCAATATTAAAAAAAAATTTCCAATTTAGTTTCAGATTTCAACTTACTGTCCGAAAATGAGAGTAAAGGTAAGCTGTTCGCACAAGAGGAAAACAAAACAGCAGAAATCAACATGTTAAGCAATACGAGCCATGAAACTACGAATAATAAGGACATGTATGATGAAATTAAAGGAAAACCTGCACATTTGCAGGAAAATTTCAGTGACTTTGATGAATGGGTACAAACGATGACCACAGCAAGTAAAATGAGTGAAACTACTAGTAGCTTCAGTCATGTGACTGTAACAACTGTTGAGGAGGAGAAATTTGATTTAGATCACATTCCTGCTCTTATGGC